AACCCTTTTTATTTTATCAGTACAGAGGTTCGAATCCCAACAGATGTGCTTTGTGTCCATGAGCAGGAGACTCTTCCGTAACTGAAATACATTTTAAGGAAGATCTCAGCTGCAGGTTGAATAACAAAGGAGTGCTGCCTGAGATTGTCCAAACTCCACCAGACTCCGAACTAATCACCCCCAGAGACTGGCCAACTCATCTGATTATCTCCGGCTATGGAAATATGAACATCTATCATGGCTCGGCCATCCTGAAAGCCCCCCAAAAAACACCTTTTTTTCCCATTTCTTCTCTTGTTTTGAAAGGTATTGCTCTGAACCTGAGATCGTCCGAACTCCACCAGACTCCGAACTTATCACCCGTAGAGACTGGCCAACTCATCTGATTATCTGCGGCTATGGAAATATGAAAATTTATCATGGCTCGGCCATCCTGAAAGCCCCCCAAAAACACCTTTTTTCCCATTTCTTCTCTTGTTTTGAAACGTATTGCTCTGAGCCTGGTTGGGGTACGTAGTCCATAAGCAAGCTAGTTTACCAGCATTCAGCGTTAGACCACACCCTTAACCTTCTGGAATCATCTCAAAATCATGTACTATGCAGGGAAACCTATGGTTCAGTTCTAAAATACTTTCGTTGGGCATCCAACCTAATGTATACCGAGTAAAAAGGGCCGGGCTCAACCATCCTCAATCACGAAAAATCCATCGACATGTTCTTTAAATTTTGGGGGCCCAGTTCAATTAGCGTTAAAAGTATGACCTTGCCGTGCATACAATTGCAGTGTGAGTGTTTAATATTCTGCTACATATTCAACAGGGCAAGGTGTTGCATACGTGTGCAGGCTGTATTCATTTTAATTTACGAGTGGGACCTTTCCACCTATGGATGTTATCAAGAGAGGTTTTCTTTATTTTCAGGATCCGAAACTCTGCACCTGTGCCCAAGTAAAAACAGCTTCGTTGTCACTTGCCTATCATAGCAACATCATTACACTATCGGGTCGTCAAATGTCCCCCAACAACTTCTCAAACAAAACCAGACAATCTACCTTTCTCCCACAAAAAACCACTAACACACCACATCAAATATTTATCTCAATTCTAAGGATAACATTCTTCACATTTAGTTGAGTCTTATTAAACTGAGGGGACCTAAGTTTTCTTTTTGTTAAGTCTTGCCATTTAATTCTGAGCAAAATTCTGCTGTGGACCAGTCCAGAGCAATCATACACAAGACACTATGGCCGGTGACCTGCTTTCCAGGGCTTTGCAGCGCCCTACATGTATGTTCAGGTGATGAACAAAGTCTCAAAGAGAAAAAATAAGCATCATTTCCCAGAAGAAGAAAAACTTAACAATTTTTCAACACAATATTATTTGCCATCATGAGATCCCATGCCGGCAATCTGATTGCAGGTTTTACGATACATGTAGTACTCCGTGGCACAATACAGGCAATTTCCCATCAGCTCCCAAGTGTAAAATTTCATCCGAACGTAGATCATTAGTCTTGATTCAAGCTCGGAGAGGGAAAACTAGACCGGGGTCACAGATACATGAACAACTGTCTCAGGCTACATCAGAAAAGACCATTTTCATAATGCGGCCATCTTGATTCTTTCCCCTTTAAATCAACGCAACCAAAGCGAGGCTGGAAAAAAAATAGTCTGGTTCCTTTTTGCATACAAAACGTTATCATTCAGGAATGTGTGTTTACAGCCAGCAATAGCCAGGTCGTTTCGATGCGGCATCGGTCTTGGCTGCATTTTCTGCTCGAGACAGTTGGGCATCACTTATTCATGAGATTGTTATCTTCCTTTCATTTTCGTTTTTTTCTTGAAGATGGTGTCTTGAGGGGTAGCAGGTGGCCGATGAGATGAAGGCTGGAGATATTTTACACTTACTGGCGGCTACGGAGTTGTGGGATTTTGGGAGAGAGGGGTTCATACGAAGGGGAATTGTTGATGGTTTGAGATATTTCAGGATTGACTTGTGATGGGATTAGGCTCGGCGTTTTGGACTTGTTGGAGGACAGCAGTTTGGACTTGAGTTTTGTGATGTTTATCTGGATATTGTGAGAAACTAATAGTCTCCAATAATGACAACTGTTCTTTTTGACATGTGGAATGAATGCGTTATATTGTTGAGTTTTCTTAATGCTCATCTGCAATTGAGACAGGAGAAAACTGAGCAACTTGATAGAACTGACTGCTTGTTGCTAATGTGGTGGTTGGGAATTACACACTGAATAGTTATCCTTTCATTCCTACGATTTACTTGGTTTACACGCTTGCAAACTTCACCAACTTTTATCGCTGCGGTTGCATAAACTTTCTCAGTTTTCCTACTTCAGTCAGTCTTTTCAATTCTCATGTTCACTTCAGATCTGTTCGTGTTTTACTACATGTAGCTTGCTTTATTCACCTTCTTTTTTTTTGGGCTTAAAAAGTTGTGCCGCTTATATGTGATTGCATTTGCAGTCAGTCTTATCAGTTCTGATCATTTTCGACTCTGTGTAACCACGCTGTCAAAAGTTTGCCAATGCATCGAAATCTTACGATACCTTTCTTTTTCCCCTCTGTTTTTTACTTGAATGAAAGGTCAGTTCTCGGCCCGGAAAAAAACTGATGATGATCTGCAATTGAGTGCTGGATTTTCTACACCTAAAACCGCTCTTAATTGGTTGATTTCTGAACCCGATTAGGAATCATTCGAGCGATCAGGTCAGCCGGCGTTGCAAAGGCCACCTGAGGTTTTGATCTCGAGAGAAGATTTGAAAGAGCAATTTTTTTTGGGCAATTTGAAGGGCTTGAAACGTATCAGAGATCAGTTGGCTGGGGTTGTTCTTATCACAGTTTTAAATGGTTAACAATTCGGAGCAACAAGATTAAAAGGTTATGTGCGGTCATTTTGGAATGATTCCAATCAAAATTTGGTTTTAAAATCACTATTATTCGAAGTTGAGGGAAGTTCACATGAGCGGCTATTTTGATGTGACATAGGGCATAGTTTCGATATGATGCATTGGACGTGATCACTGTCCACATTTGTCCAAAACAAATGGTTATGATATTTATCAATCTGTATCTCCTGGCATTTGAGGATTTTGTATGAGGACTGCCCGGATTCAACTTTTTCATTTAGAGTTTCCATCAGATAATTTGAGTTGAATTGAATTTTGTGGTAAAGAATGATGGTTTCCCTGAATACAATTTGTGATTATTTTATAAAGTTTGACATATATGCATGAAAGAGAAAATTGCGCTCAGGAGTGAATATTTGCATCTGGTACATGTAGCATTCCAGGAATTTTACAGGACAGATGTTCTTTAATTAATTTTTTTTGAGGGGGGGGGGGGAGAGGGGAGAGAGCACTGGATATGGACTGAAGGTTTTCAAAAATGTCAAACTTGACGTAATTGTTGTACAAATTCATTCATTCGAACTGTGAATTTCGAACTGTGACTGTCTTCAACCAGGAAAGGTATGCCATTGATGGTACATATTTTATTTTAGATCCATTGAGGTGACAAACAGGTCGTAAAACTAGGAATTTTTTCTTTAAAAGGTTTCTGTGTGGTCTGTTTGTAGACCAAAGAACTCAGATTCACAAACAAACCCGGCTGGAAAAATTCCCGGCGATGGTTTTATAAATCAACTTCAAAGGCTGAGTAACCGAGGCAGAAAAGCCCCTTAACGGGATCGTCCCTTTGAGGATTGAGTAAGTAAGAAAGACACTCCTAAAAGGCTTAAATAATAATCCTCCTCAGAAATTTTGCCAAATCATATAATGAAATATTACCGTGGGCCCGAAATGCTTCGCACGCCTTTAATTGATCAATTAGGTATGGTGTTGCGCTCAGCGACAATGAAATAGGAAGTATTGCTTACAACTTTTTTTTTTCCCAAGCCACGCAGAAAGAGAATTGTACTTTTTTTCAATAAGTACGTTGATCTTTGGGTGAACTTTTTTTCATGTGTGTTTCCACTGGGGGACTGGGACTGTGAAAGTATCTGGGATAAATGTAAAACTATCCACCCCTTTTTGTGGCCAGTTCTTTTATGGAATTTTCTGACTCATGGTCACTGGAGTTGTTCTGAATGGGGCAATCAAGTAAGCCTGATGCTGATGCAAACATTTGAAAGGGAAGTACTGATCAATAATCAATAATCATTACAACGGCATGATTACAACTTGAGCCTACTGCAGTTTTTAGATGTAACAGATGGGTGTTCAGAGCTACAAAGACATTTGGTAAATGACGTTAGTTTGAGCGCGGTTTTGGGAGATAATCAAGTCAAAACAATGATCACCCAAAACCAGCTCACTATAATCTAACAACAGAGAAACAAACACAACACAAACATTTATTACTTCCCTCCACATAATTTTCTTATTTAAAAAAAAAGATTCACTCATGAATCAATTGTCCTTCCACAGCAGTGAAACAAGTACCGTATTCTCTCAATAATTGAAAACTTCAAGTGAGACTCAAAAAGTCTCTTCTTACCATCAAGTCCAGTCACAAGTAAATAAGTTAATTCACAAGTCCAGTCAAAAGTAAGAGAAGATGAACAACAAGAGAGACTGCCTTTGTCACAGTTGATTTAAATAGCTTGTGAATTGATGTTGGTCTCTAAAATACTTATGATGGACTTGTGAGGACTTGTGATGGACTTGTGAATACTGACTGGAGAGGACCTGTGGGAGCTGACTTGTGAGGACTTGTGAGGACTTGTAAGGTACTTGTTGGGAACTTGTGAGGACTTGTGGGGACTTGTGAAGTCTTGTGTGGACTTGTGAGAACTTGTGTGGACTTATGGGTTTTGTGATGACTTGTGACGATTTGTGAGGACTTTTGAGGACTTTTGAGGACTTTTGAGGACTTTTGTGGGACTTTTGTGGGACTTTTGAGGACTTGTAAGGTTTTGTGAGGACTTGTGAGGTCTTGCGTGGACTTGTCATGGATTCGACAACACTACTGCCCCAGGGAAGGATGAGGAAATTAAAAGAAATGTACGACTTACTGCTGACAGAGGGAGACTAGGTGATCGTCTGTTGTGTGCGTGGGAAGGCCTCGTATGTACAGATTGGTCTTACTCAGCTTGTCGTTGCCGTAACTACTCTGTGAGGACTGGGAGTGGGGGGAATGTTGCTGACTGGAAGAGCCTGAGCTACCCGCCGAGCCCGTGTTACTGGCTGGGCTGGGTGGAGGCATTGTTCTGACTGGTGGGTACGTCTGAGGTAAAGAAAACGAGAGAAAAGCGAGAGAATTAGTTATAAGTTTCACAAGCTTTGTTTAAGTGCTCTGCAAGGACAGGGAGTGGTGGGATGTTGCTGGGTAGGTCTGTGGTAAGAATGGGATATAAGGAGAAAAAAAATGAAGAAATCATTTATAAGTTTCTGAAGTTTTCACAGTTGGATTTTGTAAGCTCTGTAAACTCATTGCTATCCTAGAGATTAAGAACAAAATTCAGAAGCTTGTACGGGTGGGACTCGAACCGCGATCTCCTGCTTACTAGTGCAGAGGACTTAACACATAACCACAAAGCGTGCTGGGGTCAACTGGCCGATTCCAATTCTGGTTTTCCACGCTCACAAGTGGCATATAAAAAAAACCAAATGGCGAAGCATTCATACACAATTTAAGAAACAAATATCACTCAATCTTACTGTGTTGAGATAACTTGAGAACGTAAATAATATGAATATTAAGGTCTACAAGGTACAGTGTGTACATGCCATACAATAAGAAACTTCCATGTTTTATCTGAACATATCATACTATCAGTACATTCCATATTTTGTCTGCACATACATGTATGTCACAAAGTACAGTCTCAAGTTGTAAATACAGATGAGTGAGATGACCCAGACATTAATTGAACTGCTTTGAAAATTTCCAATTACCTCATCCTCAACTCACAAATGAACAATGTAATTATAATTTACTAAGGCCATTTTTTCTTTCTTCAAAAATTCCGACCAGTCAAACAGTCCCTTGTTCGTGCCATCAATTCGCACACCAGCATACATGTATCCAATCTACCTGCATATCTGCCCAAGCTTACATAACCACTCACTAGACAAGACCACCCGGCAAACTTAACTGCTCCTCCCCAAGGAAAATATGCAGTAATTTGCCCCTGACAGGCCAAGAAGCTAATTAAGCGTAATTGTTAGTTGTGACTATGCTGGTAGGGGTCCTTACTGCTCCTTCCTTCTACTGAAAAAAAGTATAACAAATTGGAGCTACCTAAATGGAATCCCTGATAACAGTACTTATAATTATCAGAAGACAGTTGAGAGTGGGCATCGTTATTCACCACAGACTGTCAGATCCACCCTACAGAATCCATGTTCCAACAAGATGCTTCTCTGGTGTGATGTTCAGATAATCAGTAAGCAACATGGTCCACTTTTGATGAAGCTGTGTGAATCGGCCAGCTTCATAATTTGCTGGTTTGTTGATTTCTGTTTCCGGAAAACCACCTTGAGAAACAGGTTTCACTTTCAAAAATGACACATCATACTCAAAATGACGAGAAGAAGGGGGGAGGGGCCAATACGAAATCTCCAACCACTTTCTGCTCTCCTCCCACTTTCTGCATTCCAGGAGTTCAGCAGGACTGTGAATGCAGGTAGCAAAGACACGTTCAGTTCAGAGCTTTCAACCAAAAAATATAGAAGTTCACTAACTGTAGTGGCCTAAAATATGAAATCCAGTAAAAGTCTTCGGGAAAAGATTCTGTTTCAGTTGAAACGTCAGGCCATCTAACCCTACTTGTAACAGAATACAGTTCAACCAAGCAAATACAAATCTAGCTAGAAACCAAAACTTTTTGACCCAATTCTTTCAATTCAAAACAGAAGTAGAGTTTTTGTTTGTTTTTCTTTCTTTCTTTTTTGATGCATAGCTTTCTGACTCATTTCTCAACAAGAAATTCCTCAGAATTTCTCAACCACATGACAAAAGAACAACACAAATTTTCTGTTCCTCGAAGTCCACCAAACAGAAAAGTTCTCACCCCAAAAACCCAACACCGACCCACAGACCACTTCCTCCCAAAATGAGACTTCACAGCCCCTTTAAGTTCAGAGTTCACTCACATTCCTATCCTATCTGGTTGAAGTCCCAGGCCCCCATGAGAGAGATTGTGTGATCTTTACTGCACTGTCACCTTTACTAGTCAAATTTTACGATCAGGCATATCTGGGCTTGTGGGTCTTTATTATCAAAAACAGGTATCTGTGGGGCCGGGTCGTAAATTTACATTTTTTGCTCCTTCAAACAAGCTTTTACCCATTAAACTCCGCCTTATTTCGTGGCTTGTGCTGACAAGAGTAGAATCTCTTTCTTACTGTACATAGTGTACAGTAAAACATACTGTGCTACTGCTAGCAGTAAAAAGTAAATTTTCCACTGGTTTCGGCTAAACATGCATTACATCACTATACCATGGCTATACTTTAAAGTGGAAAAGGTGCATGCGTGTGTTGCTCCAGATGACTTCAGATGTCTCAGGTAAAATTGGAATGGGCACAAAGTACAAAGTTGGACCACAGGGGATCCAAAAATATTCAAATGGGTCGAACCCAAAGATTTGGACATAAATTTATGGGGAAGGGACCCCCTAGGTTTTGATTTATTTATAGTCAAGCACCATAGTGGTGTTTTATGGGAGACCCCTCACTTCATTTGGGCCCTTGTTTACATTCCTATCTTAAGAGCTACATAAGCTGTTGATACTAGGGAAGGGGTACAGCAAAAACTATACCCCAGGATAACAGGGTCAATATTATCAGAAATAAAAAGCCCATTATGGACTGGAGGTATTTAATCCATGCAAGGTTTCTGTAGTCTAGGTCAATATTTTAAAAGCACCATCTAAGAGATAAAACACTTGTAAAAGTGAGCACTGGGAATGTGTAATTAGCAGAGATGATTTTTTCTTTTATCTTGTGGGTCTGGGGGTCTGGCAACCAGTATTTATACAGACACATTAGCTGTAAATTTACGACACCCCATGAAAATTCCTCACACTGCAAAAACCTAGTGGCCCATGCACATGGGTGGCCTGAACAGAAGCATTTCTGTAAAACTGTTTTAGATTTTTGAATAATGAAGATTTTTCCAACAGGAGAGTAAAATTACACATAACCCCCAGAACTTTTATCATCAAGCTGGTCATTTTTTGAGACTATATTGCTGGACAAACTGTGACGAAGGATTCATTAAAACCATTTCGTACAATACTACACGAAGATAATTTTTTAAAAATCAAGTTCGATTCTTGCTAGATCAAAACAAAATTGAGCTCTGTTTTTTTTTACGTCCCAATTAATGTAAGTCCTCCCAAAGTTTCTCCCAAATTCCAAAACTGAAATATTTCTCCTCTCCAACAGTACTTTTATTCAACAGGATTACTTTTGAGACTTATGCTTCTGCTTCGTACTGCAACAATCTCCCCGCAGGGATTTTGCAGGTACCTTATAGAACTTATAACATACGTTTTTCGTTATGTTGTATTCGTCAACTGTGTTTAACTATACAACAGCCATTGAAATTGTGGGCACGTGTGGTCTAGCGGTGGAGCACAGGATTCAGGTTGTGGGTTCGAGCCCCGCCGCGGCCATGCGTGTTGTGCCCTTGAGTAAGGCGCTTTACCTCAATTACTCCTCTCAACCAAAGTGTTAAATGGGTACCAGCATTATTCAATGCTGGGAAGGGAACAGATTCGCTGTGGAGGAGGTGTGGTGATTCCCCCACAGCAGCATATGAGTCTGGCCCAATCGCAAGCGAAAGAGAGAAGGGCACTCCATTCCTGTTATCACAGGTTCGTCCCTCTTTTTTAGCCATTGAAATAGACTTAGGGCAGCCAGTAGAGAGCGACTACAAAAATGGCATTTATACATGTAGCTTTTTGGAAGCAAATTCTTCATAATTTCAGAAGATCACACATCACCTCTAGCAATAGGATTATCCTTTTCTTTTCAACAGCTACACTACAGCTCTTCACGACTACAGCTTTCAACACAGGCTCTCAAAAATATTGACATGAGTTTTAAACTCATGTCAATATTTATTTCCCCTCCCCCCCCCCCCCCCCCGGCAGCCCATCTGCTGCACTTATGCAATTAGCCAGTTTGCAGGTAGATGATTTTGAGGGTGTCAATTTACAATTTTTGCCGGATTAATTTACGAGTTGGAACTAAAATGAAAACGAGCTGACCTGGCCTTGTCTTTAAGTCGATGCATCGTTAAGGACGAGGTAATCTATCAGTCAGCTGATGATGCATCAAAGAAATTTTTTAATGTGAACTCAACTAAAAAAATTATAAGTTAATTGTCGTAGCCCTTGGTTCTGACTCTTTAGTTGCAACACTCGAAGCCGTCAACTTAAAAAAACACCTTGATTTTCAAGTCATAAATCGAGGGATCCCTAAAGTTTAATTTCATGGTTCGCAGGCCCTCATCGAGGGACGTAATTTATTATACCCTGAAAGAGAATTTTTTTCTTTTTCTTGTTAGGGCAAAGCCTTAGTTAGTTTGGGAGATCAAATTCATGCATCAATATGGTGGCTCAAAAAGGGGCCAAGGTAAGATAAGTTTGAGGGTAGAATATATAAGTAAAGTGAAGGATCAATAGTAGGAGTCAGGTTGTCACAGGGGTACTTTCCTCGCCTTCCACCGCTGTGACCCGGGTTCGATTCCTGCCCTGGCCACATGTGGATTGGGTTTTGAGTCCCTGCCTGATTCCGTGGGTTTTCCCCAGAATATTCTTCTGGGGTTTTCCTCCCACATCTAAAACTGTAATTTCTTCTCATTGTCTCCTCTCTACAGGTTTCATCAGACTTGCGAGCAACAGTGCCTGGGGTGCTTTTAGGAATCCTTGGTTTCATTACCAGAAATATATTAACAATAAATAATCATTTTCATCCAAAGAAAACAATGCATGCTCACCGATCCTCAATGCCAAAATTGAAGAAATTCCTCGTTTCCCAAGATGGCTTCTCATACAAACTTACTGCACACTCCTTACAGCATGGAAAGTGATTCCCTTAAAACTTAGGCTGAGCTACAGACAGTTAATTATTTGGCTGTGGCTAGCACAGGTAACACACATGTCTCTGAGAAATGGCTTCCATAGGTGCATGTGTAATTGTAGGCCGTAGCCTTTCATTTACAAAGTGCCTGAAAAGCACCAACAATGGCTCAGTGGGAATGACCTACATGTAGCCTAGCCAGATGGGGAAGACACCCAAGAATATTGACTTTTTTTTTAACCCTAATCACAAGCCTCGCATAATAAACCGAACGTTGTACCGCAGTTATCGACGAATTCAATCCAGCGTATTGACGGCCTCCAACTGGATAGATAGAGTACGGTCAACTACTACCGTAGGAATAGATAGACAGAGTTTGGGTGTTGGGTCGGGTATGCAATGATATTGATATTAACTGTCCATATGGGCTGTCCATAAAGAAACATCTGCACAAGATGTGTAAATTATGTGTATTATTACCATACACTGTTAAAATTAATTGACAGAGTTAACAGCTGTACCGACTTGCTCTATTCAATGCTCTACCAAATAATACTTTTTAGAGAAACTTAAACCTCGACTTTTTCAATAAAAAATTGATGGTTTTGCCAGGAAAGCATGTACTCAGACAACACGCCAAAAAAAGTTCATATCATCATGATCATATTTAAAAGACTTTGACAAAAAAAATCCTCCAATTTTTTTTCAATTTCCTTAACAAGTTTTGTGAGTGCATGAACCTTGCAGGTTTACATAAATTTGCACTTGTACTTGTAGATTAGTTTTTGTGCTTTTCCTTTGAAAATAAGAAAGAGGAAAATTTCAGAGAAAATGTATTCCTCTCTCTGGGTGTTTTAACAGCAGTTCCAACTTTAAGCCTGTTTATATTTATCCCCCCCAAAAAACTGATCAAATTCCTATCGTGGAGCACTTTCAGGGGTCTGAAAAGAACAACTGAACAATTCAATGAACAAAAACAACTGTCATAAGAAGTGTTTTAAAGTAAAGAGACAAGAGTGAATATAAAGAGGAATCATACATGATACACCAGGTAGGCTTGTTGGTGCGGGTTGTTAAATCCCGGGAGGACGTAAGCAGGTTGTCCGCTGGTCTTCATGATCCACAAATTTTGTTTTTAGCGATTCCACAAAGCGTTGACTTAAAACAACACTTGGTTGAACTCCTGAGACTGAAGACAGATATAGCTCCACACGTGTGGGACGGTCGACTTTGCAAAGTCAATCAGAGAACACCTGGCTGCATCCACTGATGGAGAGTTCAGCGGTGTAGGATTCGTATAGTTCCCAACGATGCTGCTTGCAGTTCAGAGCTACGAGTTGACAAATCAAATCTGTTCACCTGGCCGCAGATCTGAAAGTATTATTCAGTGGTCGAAGTGGCCACACATTACTGGCGATTGTTGTCCACCGCGATCACAGCATTCCACAATCTCTATTCAATCCCCGTTGAATTCAATCAAGGCAGCGCCTCTTGCGTTGTCCCGGCACCAGGCTCAAGTATTAGAAAAAGCCAAACCACTGGACATGCACATAATACTCTGAATAGAGAGCTGGGCACAAGGGGAGAAAGTTTAAGCCGTCACCCTGAATGCCTGTCAGTAGCTGTGGGAGCTTGTTGTAGTTGCAGAGAGTAGATGCCACAAAGTGGGATGGGCTACTGGGTCGCCGGTGCCACCAGGGCCAATAGGTTTTGTTGGTAAACGCCCCTGAGCTGTGTGTGCGCATAAGGGGTGCAAACTGGGTGAGCTTCAATGGTCCCTGCTCTGTGTGTATGTGTACTGGGCTCACACAATAAACACAAGAGTGTTTGGTATGCCAGCTATGCTGTACAGCAAGAGTGTAAGCACTCTGCATGGGCTGCAGTGACACTAATGACAGGTTTAGTCAGTGTGTGGTATGCGCGGGCTACCCAGCTGTTCAATATGAGGATCCTGAGTGTATTGGAATACGTGACAGCTCCGATGCACACGCTGATACACACAGGCTTGACTAATTGGCACAGTGGTTGGCTAACGCACTCACTGCATAATGTAATGATGTTGGTTTGGGTCGGTGGTGTGCTAGTAGTATACAATGTAATAATGACATGCGCCGGGATATTATCGGAATCAAATTGTGTTTTGATTAACAACTGCCGAGGCGCTTTTCTTTGAGGCGGGACTGAAGGAACACTTCCGCTTGTGCGGGCCAGGCACGGGGACACTTCAGAGGCAAAACTGTGAAGGGGGGGGGGGGGGGGGAGAGCTCTGGGTTGGAACAGAAGGAACAAGGAAATAAAATAGATATAGGATAAGGAAATAATCAACGGCCAAGAGTGTCAACAGAACAGGATCTCACATTCATTTCTGGATTCTCGTTCCAAACCAAGATAATCATGAGCCAATAATATAAATCAAAACTTGACTTTTATTTGGGGTTTTTAAAATTACATCCTTCTGCACAGTTTCACTGTACGAACTACATCTTCACTGTGATGGGACATGAAACAGGAACCTCCAAACTACAACTCCAGCATCCAAACCATCTTCAATCCTTCCTTAAACCCTAACAATCCTGTTTCCTCCAATTTAATATAATTTTGTTCACACACTGTTGATATTAAGGATTAAATTTATAAATGTTAATATTTTATGAACTGTTTGTCTTTAGTACTTAGAGCCACGGGAGACCACAGAATTCCAATACATGGACGACCCTAAATAACTCAGAAAAAATGGTCAACTGTAATAATTGACTGTGAAATTGAACCAGAAAAATTCTCAAAACATTTTTGGCAAGATTGGATAACTCAGTGTCTCAAAACAGTACTATCATAGCCAAACCTAGAACTGTTCAAGATTGTTCATTCTCTAGACAACGACAGTTCTGACAAACCACCCTTTATCATTCTCAAGTTTGAATTGAAACCTTTAAATGAGCTTCAAACCTTCCTTGGTATTTTTAAATTGATCTTTCTGGGTCATAAAATACTGGGACACTCCCTTCACTTTCTTTCTTGGCATTCTTGACCCTAGGGCAGCCCAAGAATGCCATCACGTCCGCCATTAAGGAAAGAGCCGAGTGTTTTGCGATGCCTCAGCCTCACACTATAGATTGCGTCATCTGATTGGTCCAAGTAAGTTCAGTGACTGATTTCAGGGCTTGCCATTGGTTGACATGTGGGCTAGGGATTATGAAAGGAGTGATATCATTGGGACTAGTCTGGTCTGTGATTGGTCAAAATTTCTAGGGGGGAAAGCTCTGCATGATTTTATTGGTTGATGGGTTTTCAAGTAGGTGATTTCAAGGCTTATTTTAGTTGATCAGAGAAAACAACATTCTGACAAATTCACAAGTTTGTAAGTCAGAAACTGATTGGGTTGAAAGTTGACTCACCTTAACCAACGCACTGATTTGCCTGACCAATTACATTGCTCCATTTATATCTGACAAACCAATGACTGTTCTAAGGGAGCCACTGATTGGTCACAAGTTCAAAATGCCTTCTCTCCTTTGCCAAATGAAAAGTTCTCCAACTTGCAATTTGTTTGGTAATAGTCCAGCTTTGATCTTAAGGTGTTGAATACATCACTTTGGACCCCCTATTGGAACTCGAAAACACGGATGTAATTATCTCTTTCCAGGTGACCTCCTCGGAGTGATTGATCTCAAGTCTGCTGAGGGAGGTGGCAAATATCACCAGATTTAGGCATTCCGTTGGAATGCAATTTGACATGTTCTCAACGACCACTGTTAACAGGTAATTGCAACAGATCTGCCAAGGATGTTGTGTTGAGACAAGAGAGGAATGTTGAGAATCGTTCAAGAAATGCAAAGGGCACCAAGAACACCCTCAAGGAATTCCGATTATCTTGGTGTTACATTCACAAATTGACAGTAACTTGGGTTCGTTTATAAAGCTTAAAAGTTCAATTCTCATAGATTACAATTTTTTTTCACTGGTATTTTGCACAGCCGTGTACCAATTAGCAATTGCTTGTGGACGCGCAATGAGATGCTTAATACATAATTTTCCTCACCAATAAATGTTCAGCAAATATGGTCACCGGCCACAATTTTGTGTTACACATTTTGTTACTTGTTTCAAGCTGATATTTTTTTCCAGCTTTGAAATTTGTTAACTATAAGCATAGTTATATGTTAAAAAAAGACTGACATCAGGCTCGGATTCTCTCTGTTGTGGGAGCTGAAAAAGCACCATACAATAGATGCTGCACGCTACAGACTTAGCTAATGACATGCATCAATGGATAAATTGGGAGATTAAAGAGACCCCTCCCACCGCAGGCTCCGAGCCACGCCCACACTTGTACACCAACATGAATCAAAAACCAATCCAAAATGCTCAGGAATCTATCCTTCAAGTCGGGAGGCGGCAAAGACAGAGAAAACCCCAGCAGGTTTACTCTAAAGAGCTTTCCGCAGTTTCCTGCCCAGCTTAATCCTCTCTGCCATCCAATTCACCAAACTCAATCCGTCCCCCTATTCTTTATTTAAAAAAAAAAAAAAAAATCGCAGCCACTTCAAAAGTGACTTTCTCCCCTGACAAAACAGAAGTGGTTACACAATGCGAGATCCCCTTCTCTTGCTCTCTGTCCAGTGAGTACGTCAAAAGACAGGTTTCTTCTGTTCCCTGGGTCCTTTTGTTTCCCTTTTTGCAAAGAGAGTGGAGGGGCTTTGTTGGAGACTAGAAGAAAGAGAGCTTTTTGTGGAGGGGGAGGCTTAAACAATCCAACTTGTTTTGTGTTGGGGAGACAAGAGGGGGAGCTCCAGGGGAACTAGAGTGGGGGAGTGTGGACTCTGAAGACAAGTGAATATCGTAAGCAAAGCACGACAGCCAGTAGGCCGACAACCGAAGGAATGAATAGCTGTGATTTATTGAGTCAGAAAATAGAATGCACAACAGACTTCTTTAAGCTTTTAATACTGTTTGGAAACCAGGGTGGCCTCCACTGTGCAGGCGCTTGCAGTTATATTTCAAGCTCATTAAAAATTAACAACATGAAGTCGAGAGCCACATACTGAACTACAGAGAAAGGATTGAACCTCAAACACAGTGATGTTTTCTCAGAGTAATGTTAGTCTGTCTGCTCATAGCTGGATCATTCTCACTTCATTTTTTCCTGTCCCTGTTACATCTGATATCTATGATTTTTTAAAATATTTTTGATGCACCTCTTCAAGCAGTTGTCCTCCAAGAGTGATTATGAATAGCAAACTACATGTACCTACCCAACAATAAATCAAATCGCTTGCAGTCATTCTTAATGATACTTGAATGGCAACTTACAAAGTACCAATGCAACAGGAAAAATGTCACACTTTGGACCTTGAATTAATCATAAGATCCAGATATCATTATCAATGTGTGATTCCTATTTTTTAAGTTTCTTTAGGTATTAAAGTGGAGCCTTGACACTATTACTTTCTTCCACAGAACTCGAGGCCTCAAAAGGGAGGTGTTTTGTTTGTGTTTTTAAATACAGCACTAAAATTCAACAACAATTTCTAACAAGGATCATCTTGTAAATCAATTGTTGACCTGCTTGTCTGTGACGCATTCGAGAAATTTGCAAAAATAAAAAAAACTGTTTCCGGAAATTTTACCAAATCATTGCCAGAATGACTTGGGATGTCGCTGGTTGCCACAGGCATGCCTCCACACTAAATGGTTTCTGAGCCATCGGGATTAGTGGAAAAAACTGATAACCAAATGCTTCCAGGAATGATATGGACATTCACTTCATTTGGATGACTCAAACAACGACGAGCAAGGGACAGTATTTTCCAGGAATCGACAGGGATTACAGAAACAAATCCTGAACTTGGCACACCTATTATTTTACCCACTTATTGGGCATATGAGGGAAAAACTGGATTTATTTTTCACATTCGGTTCATTTTTCCTTCATGTATTTCTTCAAACAAACAAATATCACTTTCTGGAAATTATAAGTCTTTCTTAAATGAACCCACTTCTTGTGTTATTAAACATATAGGTAATTCTAGCATTATAAAAGGAAGTCTAATGTCCATGACAGAGCCAGTTAACCATGATATCCAATGAATGATTCAGAGAAATGATCCAAAACTCCTAGTCTGTAATCTCCTTGACCATTACAAGAAGATGGATGTATACTAGCAAAAGATTCGAAGAAAAAAAATTCAGTTTTATTCACTGAGCTCTTAAAAAACTCTGTCATATACATTACATAACGCTGGAATTTCCCATGCATTATTTTAAACAAAGAAAAAAACCCGAAAAAAATTAGATTCTTTAAATTTGAACTCATATTAATTTGTAGTTTGAAATTCTACCATATTCCTTTGGTAGACCCTTAAAAGATGTCCAAGGGAAAGCATGCGTAACGGGAAAACAATGAAAAATCCAGAATTATTATCCAACAAAGACCATACAGAACTCAGTGAAATCCCTTTGAATATTAAGGGGGAAAATGACTGAAAGTACGGTACACAAGAAAAATATTGTTTTTCTGATACTTCTATTTTTGAGTCAATGGTAAAATTTGAGC